CGCCTTGATTTCTTCAGAACCTGCTGTCTATGCATATGCTATACGTTTGTATAGCTACATTTACAGCTTCACAAACATACTTGTATACTTGTATATAATATACCAGCTTTTCCCAGCTAACAAAATAAGAAAAAAATCCTAATGTAACATCACTTACAACCTTCGCATAGTTATCTTTGACTGTAGAGGAAAACCAGGGGAAGATTAAAAAGCACTCAAAATGACTGCTCGGGGCATCGTTGCACACTTGAACTGTCACTTGTGTTACAGAAGTTGACCTATTCACTGACACAAATATGTCCCTTCAAATATTAGCTTATGCCACAAATAGTCTCTTGTCTGACCTGACAAGAATGTAAGTCTCCCCACTAATACAGTTTACAGGAAAAGGCTGATGTATGTTAAATAAGATGTATTAATACATTTGGACTGTTGTTAAAGCCGTGGACCGACCCTCCCTCTTCAATTTCACTTCTTTTTCTGTTTAGCCATGTCTCTTTTAACACACCCAGCATCTTACAGCCTTTGTTCCCCTTTTAACGCACCGTAACGGTAACAGACATTTGGTGAACAGAAATACTTTCGAATTTTTAAATATAGACGCAAGGATAACCACACACAAGCCGCATGTGCTGTCCGGCCTATTTTTGATCAGCAGGAACTTGGTTGACTTTGATACTACCACACCAGGTAACCAGATGCACAGATCTTGTGTTTCAGCAGTGCATCAACCTGTCTGGAAACATTGGTCGGCATACAAACATTGACACCATCCATGTAGTAACTCTATTCTTTTGATAACTCACATGACTGTTGGGTCACATGTGCAGTCTGCATGAGTTGAGCCATTCCGGGGCTTGACAGATGTTGCACGTCTCAGTCATGCTTACGTTCAACTGTTGATCCACATGTTTGAACAGATGTTGAGAAGGACAGCTATGTATTTTTCGTATCTTAAATAATTCAGTTAACTTCTGCTATTTCTTTGTGAACAGGCGGTAAGGAAGTGTCTCTCTGTAATGATCTCTTTTGCATAATTTCCACTGTGGCAGCTGATAACACAGAGCCTTATATACCTTATATGGGCCAGATGTGTCACATCTACTCGCACAGAGCCACACCTGGATACAGCATAGGGCAACAAAGAGGATTATGGGTAATAACAATCCCACATATTTCCTGTCCTCTCTGGCGGTTATTTATAAGAGTTGGAGTGTTCACAGGCATGTGAGCTGACTTTAAAAACCATGAAATGAACAAAGCCGTCCCTTAAGAACGCAAACTGTTTGAAGTGACACAGACGGCTATGCTCAGGCAGTTTTGAAGCAAAATATTACAAGGAATTTATTTTACCATAATGGGCAGGGTTGCAGCATACAACATTGTCTGTTTTCAGGCTTTTGATTCAGAGAACTCCTGCCAAATACTCTAAGCGGGGTAGCTAACTGCTCCAGAAGAACAAAAGGGACCCTCCTCTTAGTTCCCATACACACCCTGTGGCTACAGTTGTACCGTTCCTGACATGCAAATACTGTAATTCTGTCATTGCACTGACTCCCATTTATCTTATTTCCATGCTGTGAATGATAGTGATGATCATTCTGATATATGTTTAGACATCATGTAGTATCGGCTGCAGATAGTACTCAGCATAAAAGCAAATGAATTTAGCTGTAGTGTTTTAAAATGCCAAAGGACCAGTGACGTGGTGACGTTTTTTTTTAACCATTACTCAAACTCTGTTATCTGCATTTAAATCACCAACACAGATCGTTTTGGCTATATGCACTCTATATTTAGTTATATGTCAGAAGCATTCAGATGATTTTAGTTAACCATTAAATGAGAGCATCTGAGGTTCCGCAGTCGTAGTCTGAGGGTTTCATTTGTCTGTGTTTAGCTGGATTTTCCTGGCTGGCTGAAGGACTCTTAAACTAATGGCCTTCCTGTCAGAATCTCAGCTCTTTGACTGTCATACAGCTTCTCCCACGCTGTGTACGTTTCTGGGAAGACACATGCTCGGTGGAAACATGTTACTGAGATGAGGCACAATGTGATGGGGCAGGGAAATGCACACACACACACACACACACACACACACACACACACACACACACACGTTTAGGTGGTGCCGCTTGATAAGTGTTTACTCATTAAGTCCCAAAGCTGTTCCTTAATCACATGTTTATGACTGGCTACATATCCTCTTAGATGTAATGTGCGATCATGACTATTTTAGCTCTGAACATCTGGAGTGTTTCACAGCTGCTACATTACTTATTGTTTAGCATTGTGTTTTCTTATGGCAGGACATCATCGCTTCCTCACTGCTTTCCTCAGGACAAAATGATAAACATGTCACCTATTTTTACACCCTCTGGTCATAGGTGGAACCCATTCAAGGGATCAAGGCACAAAGAAAATAAGTATAAAAAAAGGCTAATTATAAAAAAAGCTACACCTGTGGCCCCTATTTTTCATGCTCTAAGACCTCCACCTGCCAAAGTCCAGTTGTCTTCTTTAAGAGAAGAAGTCATGAAAATTAGTAATTGCCTTTACTTTTGTCATTGTGGGAATTCCTACTGCCAGAATGGCCCTGAATGACCTAACGAGGATGAAAGTGCTATGGTTTGGATGTCTCAAAACAGCCCCTAAACCTCACTGAACATTTGTTTTGGACCACACTTTTACAATGACGTTCTCCACCACCAATGTGCATCATCAACACAAGTGTTTGACTATAAATAAGGCAACAAGAACCTCCCCTTTTCACACTCTTTTGAAGAAGCTAGTATCATAATTAGCATGTGAACAATTATATCACATTTGACTCATTTATATAATTTAAGTATAAGTTCAATTGAAGCAGTGTTATCAAGTACCTCTTCAAAGCCATGGTGTGTGGTGGGGGGCTTGTATGTAAAATAGGTGAATGATTATGAATGTGGACATATAGAACTAGTGTAGACACACCTACCCATTCACTTTAAGATGATGAGAAGTTATGTCTTGTCTTCCTATGTTAGCAGGAAATGTGAGCATTGATCGATAGGAAGGCTAACAATTTTAAGTCCGTTGTCAGAGCTCTTCAGCGCACATCCTTCCAGTCTTTCAGTTATTCTGTAACTTTCAGTTTTCGCTTCAGCCAAGACTTCTTGCATGAAACACTATTTTAAGAAAAAATGCTTAGTTTTGAATGTTTTTTTGTATTGTTTTATGGCTTTGTTGTAAAGCACTTTGAGTACCATTTGGGTATTGTAAAGGGCTATACAAATAAACTTGAAACTTGATTAAGTTACTACATCAAAGGTAGAATCTTTTTTTTTTTATTACAGCAACATATTGTTATAGTGTGCTCTCTGTGTCTCTGAACAGCTGGCTGTGCAGTTTAGTATGCTACACAGGGCGCTTGTAAAGGGCAGAGTCAGTCCACAGCTGGATGGGAAGTTTTCTCATGGCCAGTTACATGGCAGCGAGCTTTTGAGAGGAAACCTTGGATAGTGAGGTAAAACTCAATTTTGGCAGGCCCTTTGTGTGTGTGAAAGTGTATTTCTTCTAAAGGTGGTTAAGTTGTAGCCTTCGATGCACAAATTGAATACCTATCATGACGTCAAGTTTAAACATTTTGGTTTAGGAGGTGTTTAAAAAGAGTTTAAAGATGCTGCTTCTGGTGTAAAAACAGCCATAAAAGATGGGGTGTTTCTTTTTGCCGTGTTAGACTTGTAGACGGATATCAGTGCAAGGAGATGTTGAGATTGAAGTGACATTACCTTCACTCTAAGTATAGAAAGCATCTAATTATACCTTTTGGTGTAAAAAGACTTGTTAGTGGAGTGGTACCATCAAAAGTCCAGCTGTTCTGCCCTCGTAGTTTGTCCATTTACTACTGAGAAACATACATGAATCTTTCAGGGCCTCAAATATGTACCTTCGTGGTCTATGTATTAGCCAAACGGGTTACATAAGTTGAGAAAGTACATCAGGAGATATAAATGGACACCCATTGTGTTCCTATTTCTGTCTTAAACATTTGTAAACTGACACAGTTAGAGTGACAGTTATTATGTTCCAACTGAAATGACTCATTACACTCTAAAATAAGTCCTGGAATGCACTAAATACATTACACAAAATAACCTAGAGTCTGATAGGTATCAAATTAGAATTTCTCCAATAGTAAAATATAGACCAGTACCTGCTTTGATTTGGAGGGGGAATGTGTTATCTCTCAATGAGTGCTTAAGTTCTGACTCAGTGAAGGGGAAACAGTGGTATGTGCAACAGCTTTGAGTCAACCTGCATTAGATTTATCACCACACCCCACCTACACCGAGCCTCAGCCAGAAGACTAAGTCAAAGAGGCACCCGGAAATTCTCACATTCTCTGATGAGTTAGAATGCTGACATCCACCATCTTCATCAGGTTTTGTCATTTGTGGTGAGATCTGCACTTTTTCTCCATAACTGTCGGTGCAAGCGACATGCAAATAGTTATCCTCCTCCCTCTTCAGAGGGTAACAGGAAAGATGAGTGTTGCAAGACACAAAGAATCACATTTTCTGTCTCAGTCCGCCAACCTCTTCTGCTCACATCCTTCCAGCTTTCCCATTTAGTTCTGTGACCTTCAGTTTTACTAAAAAATATTGCATGCAATGCAGGTTTCACAGAATTATGTTCTGCTTGTGCTTGGGTTGTAAATTATGCAAATACTGAACGAACAGTTAAATATTCATCGAAAAAGTTCCAAGAGGAAAAAAATGTTATGCTTGCGACATGAAAATGTGAGACTGATCTGACACAATAGTTATTTGTGGAGTCATACATAATCAGCCATTAGGCCGCCTCTCACTGCAAAGCTCTTCTGCAGCATTTCATAAAGCAACATGTGGGATTATTGTATTCAAAAGAACGCAAAAAAGATTTTGTCAGAGTAATTTGGCTTTCTTCTTCACCCATCAGAAATGGAAGAAGAACTGGTTCGTCCTGTACCCCGCCAGCCAAAATGGCATCGCGCGGCTGGAGTTTTTCGACTCGCCTTCCGGAGGAGGAGGGTCTGGCGGAGGCTCCGGGGGAGGATCCAATGAGAAAACCAGGAAGCTGGACAAAAAGATCATCCGCTTGTCGGAGTGCATCTCCATTCTCCCCTCTCTGACAGAAAGCTGCCCCAAAGAAAACATGGCAGCGTTTTGCGTGGAAACAAATGACAAGACGCATGTTTTTGCAGCAGAGAAGAACGCTGCCAAGGACTGGATGGACACCATGTGTGACATCGCATTTCAGGTATCTGTACTTCTCCTTCGTGATGACCAGCTCGCCTCCTGTGTTTGCTTTAGGAAGTAGACTTGGCAGTGACTTAGACGTGGGTGGAAGTGTTTTTAAGACTTCCTCTGTGTCTGTTTTAACTGTGCTTATCTTTTGTGCCATGTATATTTTTAAGCACTTTTCTTTTTTCTTCTGTGTCTCTGCTGTCCTAAGAGTGACCTGAAAATACTTACAAAAAGGAGAGTAAATACCTACTGTCAGTCTGTGGGGAGAGGACCAATTGTACCAAGAGTGATGCAGCCTAACTCTTTTTTTTTGCGTGTTTAAACACTAAAAAATTCCCACATGCCCTCGGGGTGCAGGATGCATGATGATGAACATATTTTTAGAGAGGAAGCCAGAGGGAGTTTCCAGGGGGAAGACTTCATCCGCTCTGTTCTCTTTTGCACACTCAGCCTCAAACTGTTGATAATTCTGTTTCTGTCCCCTTATAACAGATGAATTAGGTATCTAACTAATCCTGTCAGGCAAACTGTACAGCACACTATAATGACCATGAGACATTGGCCCAGTGCGTTGAGTGTTTCTGTGTGATCTGCAGGGAGGAAGTGGGTGCAGCAGCAGTGTTGCAGACTCTAACGGAGGACCCCAGGACCTGCAGATGTCTGAAAACCTAATTTACTATTCCAGGGAGGAGGGTAAGGGGATTAAGCAGCATACTCCACCAGCTTTTGGCTCTGAATTGTTGCTCAGAGGCTTGCTAAAATGAACGATTTAAGGTAATCCAAATGACATTATCACCCCTCTTTGCAGTAAATGAGTTCTGGGTAACCATTCAGAGTACCGAAGCGTCTGAACGATGTGGGCTCGCCGGCAACTACTGGCTGAAAGCTGAAAGCGAAATCTTGATCTTAAAGGACCCAAAGACAAAGAGAAAGGTCCTGGTGTGGCCCTACAAGCTGCTAAGAAGATACGGGAGGGACCGGGTAGGTGCCTGACCTGTAAAACGCAGAGAAATCTCCTCAGGGACTCAAAACTACTGTAGCTCTGACACAGGATGTCTGTGTTGTTAAACTTAAGCCCTGGCTTCGTGACTGATATGCAAGATGCATAAAAAGCACAATCTTGTCTACACAAGGTCAGAATATATTTAGCGTGTCTGTTTTTTTTTAACACTTTTGAAACTTCAGCGTCACGAGTTAGACCTGAAACCTACAGGTGACCTCTAACGGAAGTGTTAGTTTTGTCTTCACAAAATCTATATTCATGCATGTAATTAGACTGATATTTGCTGCAAGTATGTGACGGAAAATTGCTGATCTTCGATGCATTTTTTTGCAAAACAATATCAACAGTCAAAATGAGAAAACTGAAAAGAGAAGTTCTGTGAAAAAAGGAAACAGGAACTTCCTGACCTCACCTGACTTTGATGTTTACTTCTCAAATCAGATGCGCTCAAACCTTTTCCCACCTGTTCTCCTTTTTTAAGGTGATGTTTTCGTTTGAAGCCGGCCGTCGTTGTGACTCAGGACCTGGAACCTTCACCTTTGACACTAAAAAAGGCAATGAGATCTTTACGCTGGTGGACCAGGCCATTCAGTCGCAGAAGGCCCTGGTGGAGGAGCACCACCTGAGCGGCCCCACCAGCGTGGACCCGGAGTGCCCCGCGTCCCTGCAGCACATACGCAACGCCGTCCCAGGTGGCGCCGCAGCAGGAAGCTGTGACAGCAGCAGCTGCAGCAGCCGGGAAGCCGACGGAGACTCAGGTGGCAGCAAACCAGGCTCAGCCGATGGTGTGCTGGGCAAAAGAGAGGGAGGCGACGGAGGAGGGGCAGGGGGGAGGGGCCAAGGTGCAGGACCCAAGGGGAGGAGTTTACCAGAGCCTCCAGGCTTGTTGGGGGTTTTTGGAGGAGACGGGACGTCTCCACGGTGTCCCAGAGGACAGGCAGGGAAAGGCTCGCCCTCCCCTGACGAGCAGGCAGGCCTTTATTCTGAACCGGCGGATTTGGTCCGCCTGCCTCCACAGACTGCTGATTGTCTGTATTCTGACCCAGTGGACAGCATTAAGGGTCAGAACCAAACCAGCAACCCATGCTCGCTCCCCGTGCCCACACCACGTCTTCGACCAGTAGGGGACGATGCCTCTGGAGGTGGGGGCCAAGGGGATCATCACCATGGGAGCGGCAATCATAAGAAGCTCCCGGACCTTTACTTACACGTGTACGACCAGATCAGCCTGGAGCTGAACCAGAAAACAAGTGCTCTGAATCTGAACGGGGTCGGAGGAAAAGGGGCTGGAGGAAGAGGGATAAACAGTAACAAGAGGCCCCCAGGAGGTCAAGCAGAAGGGGCCTCATCAACTCCTGGCCCTCATCTGGAGCACATATATGACGAACCAGAGGGATGTGCCAAAGGAAGCGGCAACTTAACCACAAGTTTAGGGATGACTGTGTATGACGAGGCCCGTCCAGAGCCCCACTCCCAGGGCAAGGCATCAGACCCCCAAAAACACACGCCGCAGCTGGGCCCGAATCGTGGCACGCCACATCCTCCAATGCCCAGGTGGCCAAAGCCGCTTACAGCTCCCAAGCCGAACAGGGGTGTTTTTACCCGGAAGGAGCCAGTGCCACCGCCCCCTGGAAAACAGGGAGGTCTTGGTAGTAATGTGAACAACAACAACAACATGTGGAGCAGCGGGGGTGGTGTGAGGGAGCTGTACGGCAAAGTGTCCAAACAGAAGCCTCCACCGGGTCATCTGTGGTTCAGCCAAAACCACCAGGCTCCACTGAGATCACCTGATATTATTTATGACAACTTGGGGGATGTTTGACTTAGCTCATGTTCCATGTGGGCTGAAAACTGAGCTTTTATGCCCTGTCACGAAGGAGAAGAAGCCTAAAGACGCAAAAAAAGTGAGATATCGTAAAATCAGGAAGAGCCAACTCTGAGCTGCTTCTCATTTGGCATCTTTTACATCCGTGGACTGCAGTAATGATTGGAGACATTCTGAACGGAGCAGCTTGCAATTATAAGAAAACCACGTTATGCCTGCATTTTGAAAAGTGGAGTACATCTATTGTCGGGCCACCCTGCGCGTGTGTGTGTGACAGTGAGAGTGTGTTTGCACGGGTCAAACCCATAATTGGCGTACCAAGCCACAGTGTGGTTGGAGCCAGCCACTTCACTGAGGCACACAGTCACACAGAACCCATATGGACTCACCCACGGCCAAAGCTGAACCGGTGGACTGGCTCTTCTTTCTACAGCACTCCGCCGTGCTTGGGAAGCGCTTTGGAAACATGTTTTTGCACTGCTGCTTCTCTGTTTTTTCTGAAATGTGAGACAACGTGCCAACCAGGACTCATTGTTGGACCGGACTGGACTATCTTTGAGACGAGGACCTCACCAAAAAGGAAGCAATGGTTTTGGTTTTCTGGACTCTTATCTCTTATCCAAAATCTCAAAGAAACAGGGAGACACGCTTTGGGCCCAGGACACTAAAATGTGACAAGTTTGCATTTGAGAGGCTGAGGTAGAAACAAGATAAGCAGGATTTGGGTTGTGGACACGGACATAAATGGGTCAAATCGCACGGGCAACTTTGTGCACAAGATAATATTTTTTTAATCCCGAATGTATCTATGTGTAGATGAACTAAAAATTAAGTAATCAATCCCCAGGGGTATGCCGGTGTATGTGTTTGTTCCAGAAACAGCTGTGCTGTCTGTAAATATGTCTTATAATAAAAATGGCTCGAAAAAGTTTAGATTTTTCTGGATAGTGAGTCTTTAAACAAACAGAAGTCCATTTATTGCTACAATATCCCCCCCAGCCTATTGGAGCCAATCGGAATCCGTCATTTCTGCTCAAAAGACTATTCTGTTCTCGACCAAACGGGACAGTAAAGCAGTCTGACCTCATCCTCCACTTCTCTCCCTCTGCCACGCTCTGTTTTTGTTGTTTCAGTCGGTTTCCAACCACTTAATCACACAGTTAAAGTGGAGCCCCAAAAAGAAAAGAAAAAAAAACCCAAACAAAGACCGTCTTTCTTACTTTTCTTTCTTCCTTCCTCTCTCCATCTCTTGCATTAATTGTGCTGTTTGGTTGCTCTAGTGACAGATAATGGCGGCTGGTTGGTGTGGGACACGCTGCGCATTTCAACTGCCCAGAGATACCGTGAGCCGAGGCGACAGGAACACAGGATGGAGGGTGAGGAAGAAGATGGAAGGAAAGAGGGGAAAAGGAGTTAATTGGCTTTCTGAAAAATGCTGCAGAAGGACGGAACATGTGGGTGTTTATCCTCAGCTGAGGATGACGAAAGAGAGCGAGAGAGAGAGAGAGAAAAGGGATTTAAAGGCTGAGAGAGGAGACAAAAAAGATGCTGACGTGATGAATGCTGCTGGCTGGATGAACCTGTCTGCGTCTGCTTGGCTCGCAAACAGGTACAGACTGTTCCTTTTTCTGCCGCCTCTTTTTCTGCTCGTCCTCGCTGTTTTTCTGCCTTTTTTCCCCCACCTGCTGCTACAGTACTTTCAGCACAGGAAAGGTAACTGCACTACCAGGGAAGAAAAACAGAACGTAAAAGAGCAACAAACTTCTGTCTTTCTCATTAAACTCTGCTTGAACTCACAGAAAGAAAATGGCGGGGAAAGGGCACACTGCTCCTTTTCTTCATGCTGTCAACATTTCTTTGATATGCTTAAACACTTTCTCAGTGGAATATAGAAAACATGCTCAGTTTGAATCGGTTTGTGTGAGGAGAGCACCGTGGCCAGATTCTGCTCATAGAGTAATGGTGAGAGGTAGATGGCGGAAGTGAAAGAGTGCTGCTACCGATTCAGCTTCAGCCATTTGATTCATAGCTTTCTCTAATTTTTAAACATTATTCAGCGATGCACAAAGCAGCCAAACTCTCAAAGCGGTCTTGAGCAATAGTTCTCCAGACTTTTTGGCTCTTTCAGAGTTTTCTCTTTGGACACGGGCTGCTGCCTCAGTTGAGTCCTTGTACCCAAACATGGAAAATGCACTAAGCCACATACCCTGAGCTGTGACTCATTCGACCACTGAAAAGGCACCCAAGTCCGTCGACTCTCTGAACTGGTTCTAATAAACGAAGATGCCTTGTGGCAGCAGGAGGTTGTTACATAACCAGGACACAGTTAGCTAACCTGAAACAAAAACCTGACGACGGGAGACACGAGCATAACTCACCCCTTAATCCAGAGGGTGTGTTCACTTTTGGAAAAAGTTGAAAGATTAAAATAAAAACACGTACACGTGTCTGAAACTTTTTAAAAAGTTGGGCGAGAATGATTTGTTCTCTCCATCCAGTATTTTCTCCTGCATAACCAAATGAGACAAAAAACAGTTATGGAAACGGCTATTTTAATCAAACTCAGGAACCAGCCAATCAAATCAGGCTTCAACAAAGTTTAAAGGAAACAGTTCAGCCGTTAGAGGTATTATATATTAACATCCTCCCACCTAACAGAAAGCTGTAGCTGGCAGCTCCTTTGCTTTGGCATAAACTTATCAAACTACAGAGTGACGCCTCATTTTGCATCGTAGGAAGCAGAATGAGAGAACAAGCAGCACTTTTAGGCCTCACTTTTTTTGATGACTCATTGTATCTCTGTGTGCTTGCTTTGTGGTTTTAAGGGCCGTTTAGCGCGACACACAGTCCAGTACCAACCTGGTGTCAGCTGGCTGGCTGCCTCTCACACAAAAACTCATAAAAAGCATAAAAACTCAGCGTGAAAACCTGAGGCTGCATCCTTAGAATTTTTTTAATCCTTGGGTTACCCTTTTGGGTCCTTGGTGTCCATCTGTTTTCCATTCCTTACTGCCACTCTACTACTGTCTTGACACTTTTGTTTTCATCTGTTTTGACATTTCCCCCATAAGCATGGCAGCTTGACTGACTAAAGAGAGTGTTTGCTATTTGCTACAGGCTTGAACTGCATGCGCTTTGCAGGGCGTCATGCTTGTGTGCATTTTATTTCTGCTGCCTTGTCACCCTGTGCTCATTACGTGTTTACTTCTGGTAAACTCAACCTGAAAGCCCACCAAGTCTGACTTCGGAAAAGAAATGAGAAAATCTCTATCATGAGTTAAAAAGTTGGTAGGTCGTAATGGCTGTGCTATAAGAGGCGGCGTGTGTGTGCGTTGGTGTGACATTTCTGGTGATGTAAGTCCCCCTCAGGTCCCGTGGTTTTATCTGCAGCTTTGAGGTCACTGCACCAGTGTGTCTGCAGGCCCACGTTCGCACAGCGTTTGGCTCCTATCATGTCAGTCCCAGTCTTCCTGTCTCCGACCTCGAGGTTGTGCAGCTGTCGTCTTCCTGTCCGCGGATTCTTCTTGCAAAGGTCATGAACACAGTCGACCAAACAAACTAGGTTTCTGTCCTTTTGCAGACTAACCCCGGCAGAGAGTCTGCTAGTCCTGTGTCTTTGCCCCCTTGGCTGTCCCTGATTGTCCAAACTTGGCTAAGTGTCTGCACAGCTGATTCCCACAAAAGATCCAGGATTAGCTTTAAAAACACCCCCATTTTGTGAAGTGAACCTGTTCAATTGTCAGAGCCGCCCTCCTTCTGCTCTAAACGTCATAATCTGCTTGTAGACGGAAGTTGCTAACTTTGTTTGTTTTTTTTGTGATGCAGCGCAAGCTTGTGGCATCATTTAGCCGGCTCCTGTGCGTTGAGTGCAGGAAAGTCTCAAGCAGCAACGTTCCCTGCTGATGCTTTTCTTTCTACAGCGTTCTCCCATCTATAGTGCATGAACTATGGATTGCAGTTGAAAAAAGTCCTAAGAAAGTCTTCGTCTTTTCCGGGAAAGACCTAGTGTCGTAAAGAGGATGTTAATTCTTACAGAAATGGTAGAAGTACTCGCTAGCATTCATCCTCCTCATTTTCACGTGAATTTGAATGACTGTAGGAGTTTATATGGGACTGCAAAGCATTGTGGGATGTCACAATCCTATCTTTTCATATATACTGGTCCATTGTGTCATATTGTGAAAAGGGATCTAAGAGGCTGCTCATCTGCACCATGAATTAGACCAGCTCTCATCTTAGTCTCCAATGAAATATTTCAGGGTTGTTTTGACTCAGTCAGAAACCTGCCAGAAAAAAATTTGTACCATGTGTGACAAAGGGACTCGGTTTGGCTTAGGAGCCAAAACTGGAAGGCTTTATTATGTCTCCAACCATTTTTCATTTCAGCACAGCAAAGCTTCCACTACTTTCAGGATTATTATGTTGCACCAGTTCTTAACTCTTAAACTCACTTTCTAAAAAGATGTGATGTTATCTTTTTAATGGCATTTTATTACAGCTATTTACAGAAAATCTGTCATTTCATGCCATCAAATTCTAAAATCTCCAATTGTTTCATTCTCAAAAATCACCATCAGCTGCTCTCGTTAATATAAAACAAACTTTTGCTTTTGAAACGCTCCATTTCCTGTCTGTTTCAACACAGCTCAAAATCATGAAAGTTTCCTTTTTTTGGGGGTTGGTGTGATCTACCCTCTAAAAGACCTGAAACACTTTGTCTTCCTTTGGTTTGGCTTTACAGAGCTCCATCTATTATTTTTAGCTTTGCATTCATTAAGCCATTCATTCACGTCTGAAAAAATCCCTTTTCACCCACAAGCCTTTTCAGCGCTCCTCGACAAAATGTAATAAAAAATTTAGATGAACTTAGATTAAAATGGCTAAATGAGTGGATCTTATTCTGACATTTTTTTCTCACAGTTTTGCTGTGCATTTTAATTAGCTTTATTGGGCTCATTTAAGATGGAATCTTTCATATTTCTTTGACATAAATGTAGTTCAGGTTGTGCAGGATCCTGGCTTCAGCCGCTCACTTCCCCCTATAGAAAGATGAACTTCCTCTTTCAGTTCTTGCTCTGCTCTGCTGGTACGAGAGATGATTATTCGCCGCCTGAGTATGAATTGTGTGTTCCTGTCCTGTTTTTCTATGTGTATGGTGTAAAGAGTTCTGTGCCTCATAAAGACAATTACAGGAAAGAGACAGTTTATTACAGTTTGTGAGACACATGGAATCTGAAACTGCAGATTATGCTCCAGATGGAGGCAAAAAAAAGGAAATGGAACATTGACAATAAAGCAGGAAGTTGCAGCACTAATATTATCCTTACACATATATAGATGAGACAGAAAATGCACATTTAGACGGCGGTTTTTAATCAAGATGGAAAAGAAAAGACTATTTTTAGTGCAATGGATTTTAAGGTGGAATCGCTGAAAACATTCTTGACGCGTGACCTAATGCAGAGAATTCGTTTTAAGTCGACTTGGATACGGAGAGCTGAAAAATTAGACAAAATAGTGCAGTGAAAGGCCACGTCTCCATCCTGAGGAAGCAATGAATCAAAGCTTATTAGTAGGAGACAAACTGTCCAGCTGTGAGTGATCAGGCAGCACACACAGCAGAGCTGCGCTGTCCAGCTGCCTCATTCCTCTGGTCTCCATTGGTGAAAACCATCCCAGAGCTGGCTGCGGAGCGGGCCTCACAGGATTCCGTTTGGCTAGAGGTGAAGCTTGCCTTTGATAATCCAGACCCACGTCGAGCCTCCAGCACTCTGTGTGTGGAGACGGCATCTAAACTTCAATGGTTTCTGTTTGAGTGTTGTTGATGAATGTTGTCACATAGTTTATATCTATGGAGGGATTACCGATAAATCTATTAGGGGAAGCACCCTGTCTGATGGATGGATATAGTTTTGGTTTTAAGCGATTTCTCAAGTCATTGAGACTAGAAACCTTTCATTGAAAAAAAAATCTTGTTTTTTATTTTGGTTGTTCTTTTCACATGTTGCCACGATGAGCGCAGATCAGTCACAGTGTCACAAGTTCAGGTTCATGTTCTGTTCCCATGCCATGTAGCAGCTTGGGAAGCTCTGCCTCAATGGTGAGGCCTTCTGGAGGCACACCAGTGGGTGGCGAAAGGTCAAAGGCAGTCAGATGCCATATCAAGATAAACCTCCCATCAAATGTGTCTTTTATTTGATGAATTTAACAGCTAAGTGTAACAAATGGAACACAATATTTATTATTCAAATATAGACCATATATAACATCTCAAATATCACGGAACAGGTCAAATGTTTACAGTGTGAACAAAAGATGAGAGTCAGTACCCAGATAAGGATGCTTGTGTGGTGGAGTCATAACACAACAACTATTCACAGAGGAAAACTGCTTTCTTTTAAAGACCTGCTCATACCTGAGTTATTAGACTGTAACTGGAAACACACAGTCACTCTTTGGTCAAAAATTCCATTCATCCGTTGTGACATTTAACGTGGAACGTGTCTGAAAACGTTTAGGTCAAACAGAAGAACTCCAGTTTTGGCCCTTCGACCTCTCTGAAGAACTGAGAAGCTGCCGTTGTTCCGGCTGAACAAATTGATGAAATTCACACACGCTGACTCAACTTCTGAGAGCTTTGGAGGACTAATGAGAAACTATGGCCAGGAAAGAGGAGTGAAAGGACGGAGAAAGCGGGTAAAATCGGAGTGAATCTGAATTATTTTCACAGACAAAAGCATCGTTGTTGTTTTAATTTGCGAATGCGGAAGTTCTGTGACATCACAGTGTGGTCGGGTTGTCCCTGATGTTAAAAGGTTCAACCAGGGGGTGGAATGGCGGGACACTCATTAGGCCTGTGTGACGAGGATTACATTAAGACAGTGACCAAGCACATATCCAACTTTCTGCCTCCGAACATGGGTCTTTGCCCGTGTGTTTAAATGGGAGGCTGCGATGCCCCCCCCATGAACTCATATCGACCTCCTGACATGCAGAAACACCACTGAAATTTTGCCCCCACCACAGAGTTGTTCTACCAAACTCAATACTCCTCATTTCACAGAACACACTGGAGATTTTATCATCCGCTCTCATCTTCGCTCTTCCTCCGTCTGTCCCCCTCCTCATGCCGCCTTTCAACCCCCAGAGCGGGCTCTGACTGTGGGGGTGAAGGAGAGCAGAGAGGCCCCTCTGTCTGCTGCTTTATTCTCTGTCTCATTAAAACAGTGAAGCTGTGTTCAAACCGGGGCTTAAGGGCCAAATGAGAAGGAATGTGCATATGTGTTTAAGTCCTTATGCACACAGAGCTCCACTGTACAGAATGCCTGATGCACCATGCCTGAACTGTTGTTTCGTGCCTCTCTTTTCTGACTTAAATGATGCAGTTAGTGTGCCTCGCTGGATTTTGTGTGCTGCAACATGTTTCTATTCTTTAAATGTCCCACACCAGACACCTTTTGTTCTGTTTTTTGGGCCAGCGCTGTTTGAGGCTTTCATCGTGCTGCTGTTTCCCTCCTTTTCATCTTTTATCCTGCCCCTTTATTATGTACGGCAATTTCTAAAGTGTGCTGTCTCACCGTCCCACACGCTGCACGGAGCTAAAACTCTCGGTCACTCCTCCCTCCTGCTTGCAGGCTCACAGGCAGGTTGGAAAAATTCAGGTCTGGCTAACGCTGCTAATGCTGCTGGTGTGGTGTCAAAGTGTCAAATGAAACCATCTGGGTGTTGAGCACATAAAGGTCGCTCACACCAAGTTGCTGTGAATGCGCATTTACATGGAAATGAAAATAATCTTCCCTTTGTTGAAAGTCGTTAAAGACTTCATGACACCACTTGGCCAAATGCTTGTGCACATTAGAGTTGGGTTGGGTTTTCAGTGTGTAAGTTTCGATGCTCTGGCCCTACAGATTAATCTATTACTATGGAGTTGCTGTCTTTGTTGTCCTCCTCCTGCTGATCCAGTGCCCGAGCTGGATGGCTGCTGCTGCTGAGGAAGCTCAGAGTTGGCCGGGAGGTCTTAGCAGGAGGAGCTCCCAGTGATGAAGAGGAAGCAGAGGCGGCGGCAGAGGCAGAGGGCAGCGGAGCCACGGTGGCCCTGACCTTGCTGTTAGCTCCATGCTGACGCCCGTGGTTTTGTAGCTGAAGGGAGACACACAAATGCTGTGATTTCAGTCTTGAAAATAACTTTTGCTGAATAGTTTGAAAATTAAGAGAAGAGGCTATTTTTTTTTTACATTTGACTTCTAAGAGTCGACCAAGAGCAAAAATGATGAAGACTAAACAGAGCTGGACCTCCTATAAAAGTTAGGAAGGCTTAAACTTTATGTGTCATGTCAGGGTTAAAGCAAAAATAAGAACATGAACAAAAAAAAAAAGCAGAGTGCTGAGCGGACTATTTGCATTCAGCGGCCTTATCAGCCCGATGACTCACACATCTATGCACACTCGGCTCTCTGTGAGCCTCAGCTGATGCCATGTAGTAATGTGAATGGTTCAAATGTTGGTTATTGTGAGATGTTGTTTACGCCAACAACCCAGTGTGTTTACCGGCACCACGAGGTATGTTTTCACTGTCCGGTCCGGACAGAAACGCTGCCACATTCTGTGATATTTGGATCCTTAGCTGCCAGTACCTTTCTATTACAGTTTTGGATTAAGTGTGCATTCTCAGAAGTTGTGAGTAATTGTTTCTCACTGAAGCTTGACGAAACAAAAGATTGCAAAACAAACAAAAACCTTTTTGGGGCACATTTGAACCGTAACTTCTATTTTTGAAGGTTTCTTTCCACACTGTTGCATTGCGGCTCTTGTCTCATGCATTCACTGAATTGTTTAGGTACACTTTGTGGTAAGGCAACTTTTTTATGTGAATTTCCCCACTTCTGTTTTGACTTTACAGTCCGTCTTCGGTTCTGTGTGATGACCAGGGCCCAAGAAGTGGCGGTCATGGCTCCATTGGCACTACTTTGCCCTCCACAAGAAAAGGAACAGCCAACTTGACCCACAGGGAAGGCCACTCACAGCATTTAAAAATCTGCATTATACATATTTAGCCATATACAAAATGTCTTGTTTTACCACAGTTATGACTTACTTCAAATATCAATCTGTATCACAATAAATGTTACACAAAGGACCTGATATATTAGGGCTAAAATTCTAAACAGAGCATGAAAACCAGGTTATGCAGCAATGAAACAGTGTTTTGCAAAAAAATACTGAGAAACTTGCAAATATGATACAGTGAATGTATGTCACATCAACCTGAACCTTTAGAAATGTCTGTTAAACTATGTCCGTGAACTGCGCGCTGCCATCTAGTGAGTATGAAAGGAAGTCAGAATGTTTAACCTGCTGTGGTTAATAATCGACCTGTTCTGCTCTCTGCTGCCAAACAGCTCTGGATGTATGTAATGAACTTCCTGTATTTCATGCAGCACACAGTGACCTTTACACTGCTGTGCTTACCTGTCTGGGCTGTCGGCTGACTGAGCTTCTGGGAGTCTCCAGCGTCTGTGGCTGCTCTCTGTGGGCGGCTGGTGCCTGGAGCCTGAAATCACCAGCAGTGCCTTTAATGCAGTTGGATCAGGTTGCTATCTTTGTTGAGGTGCATTATTAGCTTGTTACGTCTTTCATATTTAATCCCATGCTCAAAGGTTCAAACAGGATGTGGGCACACTGGTCCGGTTCCTGCTCTGCGACACCTGGCGCTGCTGACCTGTATGGGTATCGTGGCTGTGAGAGCAGGCTTTTGCTCCTGAGGTGCTGATAGAGGTTACTGCTCAGAGACAGTGGGTTCAACACAAACTCCTCATCCAGCTGAGTGAGACAGCCCTGACACACACAGAAAACACAAGTTACTCAAGATCAACAGGACCATTTGTAATATGGCCAGATTAACCACATAGTGGCTGAAATAGTAGTAGAAGGCAAAAATGTAGGTTTATGATGATGCAATAACTGTTGTCCATACTGAGAAAGAGATCTCTGATGTTGTTCTTGGTATCTTTCAGAATCAGTTCTTTATTTAGTGCTCTGAAAGCTTCATTACCAATGACAACGTGGTGCCTTTACTTCCCACATCTGTTCAGTTTCCTCTTTCAGCATTTAAGAAAGAGACATGTGTTCCTTCTTCCTGACATTGCTACCACATAGAGTTACAACATCGATCAGTACTGCCCCCTTCTGTATTCTTCCAACCACCACAATCCCTGGTCGGTTAGCCATCACCTGTTTGTCAGTCCCCCTGTCCCCCAGGATCTGTCCCTCCCCAGCCCCTTTGGAAGCATCTCCCATTTTGAATTTGGGACTTCAAATCCACACTTGGCCCTGATGTTTTTGTACACTACTCTGCTCATTACATCCTGCCATGACCTGGTATTTATCTGAGAGCCTTCTTGCAGCAGGCTGACCTGCTAAACCAGGGCGACCCTGTTCTTGAGCTGTCATGATTACTGACTCCATACCTTCAGGCCCACCCTTTTACGTCACTGGTAAAACTTCCTTATATCAGTCACTTCTCTTTTTCCTCCTCTCCTCAGCTTGGATTCAGCAGCCTGAAGCACTCAATCTGAGGCCCATCGCTGTGGGCTATTTTCCTTTGTCTTTGTTTTTTCATGCTGGATAGTGGCTCTAACACTCACAAGGTCCTCACATGGTTTCCCTCTTCCCACTTACTGTACAATCTCAGGTTGCTGGAGCTTCCTTGGCAGGGTGGACTTTTTTTTCCAGCTGACTCTCAAGGGCCTGCACTACTCTTTTAGGCCCCCTTAATAACACTGCTTCTAGAATCATCCAAATCAGTTCCTGTGTCAGCACATCTACAGGGAATTTGTCAGATGAAAGGTAGATGACTCATTTCAACCTCTGGAAGAAGAAAGGTCCTTTAACCTGTACAGTCTGCATGGCAGAAGGTGCTGGGTCCTGAGCTGACGTGGGCAGTGAGCAGGGCAGCAGCAACTCTCTGGAGACAACTGGCTTCAGGAGAAGGGACAGAGATGGGGAGGGCTGCAGGATATAGTGATAATACACACCTGCGTTGGACACAGACACAGAGCCTTTGAGTGCACACGCAAAGCCAAAGAAAGCACAGGACTTTATTCCACTCAGCACAGACCTGAGCCTCCAGCTGTAGACCTCTGATCAGACTCCACCTGCACCAAAAGGAACAAGCCACGACTCTAAAAGAAGCAAACAAAAACAAACCAAAGTTGTGAAAAATAATAGGAATTATGATTTTGTTTTCAGAGTTTATCCTAATTAAATTTCATTGAGATCCCTCTGTGCCAAATAGTACAAATATCACAGTGGATAAGGCTGGAACAAAGAGATACTCTGTTTTTCTTTATGATATTGGAATGATGAAGTAGTCCAATTCACCATGACGTCAATTTGCTCTGTAGCAGCTTTAAAGTTAGTGTTAACATTTCCAAAAGGAAGCAGATTTCCAAACCAAAAATTAGACTGGCAAAAACAAAGCATTACATGATCATGAAAGACACCCTATGATTACCAGACAGAATAGAAAATGACAGTGTTTGTTGCTAAAGCTCAAAATATCAATTCAATCATTAAAAAATGTTTACACACTCTCAGAGTGTGGCAAAGAGCATGGAACAAGCTGTGATTGGCCTCCATCTCATCCCAGTCCAGCTTCCAGCAGGTGGTCGGGCGGACCACCAGCGGCAGGCCGTACAACACGCTCTCACACACTCCTTCAGCACGCAGCACCCTGCAAACACACATACACACCAAAACTGGCAGGCGTAACATGATAAATTGACAGATGTTGGTAAGAATATGCGACCAGTTACTGGAAACTCAGGTTTAAAATATTTTTCATTGCAGAAAACCGCAGGATGCCAACACATGACATCATGATTGGAGACACAGAAAGTGACATCATCCCAATCTAATGGGATCATATTTATAGGGTGACTGGTGCTTTGTTTAGGTGCGTCTGCAGTCATGTGCATGTAAAACTTACATATAAGGTACAATAACTTATCAGACTTCTAAACAAACACGCGCACTAACACAGAACTACAGTTGTCCTTTTGCCTGAAAATGCAAAAGTTATGCAAAGCAGGGATGAAGTTAACTAATGCAAATGACACCTCAGTCTCTGCTCTGTCATCGGAACCAATGTGTGTGTGAGTGTTTGTATCTGGGTCAAAATAGCATCAGCTTCTGGACATGGTGAGCTGTTTTCTGCTGCTCCATCAGTCTGTTATGAGTCACTGAAACTGTTAAAAAAATGTTGATACAAGTACGATTCATTCATACGAGCAAATGAAAATGAAATCAAAGAAGTAAAAATGCAGGCCTTTTCATATTCAACTCATCATTTAGGTATAACAATGCAGATATTGCAAATTTGTCATTTACCTTGGCACCAGTCTGAGGTTATTAAACCACAGTTCAATCAGTTTTTTTAATTACTCTCTCTAAATACATCAGACGCAGAAGTCAGAACCCATCTTTTGGATTCTAATGTCTAATACTTAACTCGTTTTGTTTGAGAAAGTAGCTAAAATTTCTATACATTTTTGGAGAACACTGTATGTATGCTTTGTGACCCCAACATTGAGCAATGAATTCAATGGACCTGAACAAAGATTTTCTTATATTTTGACATTTTTGTTCCAGGCTACGTTTCTTATGCTCCAGTTTATAAATGGAAGACTAGAAATGTTTAGAGCTAGCTACAAATTTCCTCTAAGTTGTTGATACTTTGTGATATTTTCAGCATCAGAGCAGAACAAAGCCTGCTCTGATACCATCAGAGCACCCTGCTTTCAGACAGCAGTCATTCATAGACAGGCTACCGTACATGCAGGCACAGGGGCTACGCACAGACCCCCTCCCACATTTTTAGCGGTCTAAACATCAAGGAAGAGTTGCTGTGTAAAAAAAAGGAAGGGAAAATGTTCTATCTATGCCTGTTTATCAAAACATAACTAAAAATCATAGTATTCATTTGCATTTATGTTTATCTCTTCACAGGATGTTTCAGATAAGCAGAAAAATGTGAACTAGAAGCCTTTCTGGGTGGTTTTCTTGCCTCAAACACTAAGACCCTCTCTTACTTGATCGCTTTCAGCCTCTGTGGTGTAGGGCTTTGATTGGCCAAACCCTTTATGATTGGTAGGAAATCTCGAATGCTCTCAGTCTTCACTCCCAGGCTGGGGGTCAGGGGGACGAGGGCGGGGCTTATCAGTCGCTCCTGCATGTCACACTTCAAGCACACTGTCATTACAGATTGACAAAGAATATTATGGATTAAACATAATTCCCACCCTATTATGATTTAAATAACCAGTGAAGCTAAATGTCTAGCCTGGAATGGGATTGTCAGAGGGGCTTGGCAGCAGGAGGTGGAGCTGCTCTCTGTCTCCTCCCTGCTCCTGAAGCCACGCCTTTAACACAGTTTCCATGGCAAACACGCTGTTCTCCACTTGCTGCAGGTCAACCTCCATCCCCAACGTCAAAGAGTCTGCAGATATGAGCACACAGAAACCAGTTTGAGCATCTGTAAGACTGTGACAAAGAGTTTGAAGACACTCGTCTTCAAACTGATTCATTTTTTAATCAGAGAAGATAAATCCTAGGATGGACTTGTACTTATATAGTGCTTTTCCAGTGAAACTGACCACTCAAAGCGCTTTAAACTACATGTAATTCAACGGTAGGTAACTTGGGGTCCAGAGACTCTTCTAAATGCTCCTCTAAATTCTAAAGTTTGTCCAACTCAGCATGCAACTGAAGCAAAGATTTGTTTCCCACCAGATGGCAGCAATGTGCAGCAAATCTTTCAAACGGCAGCAAGCTCAGATACCAAAGGTTGACGGCATTAGAGGGCCTCAAAGGCTTCAGGATGACAGGTGCACACACGGACGTCATGGTGAGAAGAAGTAGAATTATTTCAGCTATTTCAGAAAACAGAAGTTGCAAGAAAAGATAACTTCTCTGCATGAATTTGAATATTTGTCTTGTATGTAAAGATATCTAGTTACAGTTCCACTGCCTCATCCAAAAGAAGAAAAAAAATGCTTATCATTCTTTGCCCACTCTTTTCCACTTATCCTTGCAAGATACAGGAAAAGAAACCCTGTAGCCCTGCATGATCCATATCTTATGTTCTTTATCTGCTCTCATCCCCCAATGTCTGTTTATTAGTGCAGACTAGACACAAACCCTATGAAGTCACCCCCTCCCGCTTTTCTTGGTCCCTTAGCTTTCTGTTTAATAGTTAATGACCTATCAGGAGATAACTAATGGGACAAGTGGGGGAACAGAGGACCAGGAGGTTGACAGAGGGGAGGTTAAGTTGGGGATGGAGAAGAGAAGATGGATGGAAAATAGTTAGACTCTCCTCGCCTGGTAGGAATTTCAATTTCTTAAAGCAAACTGAAATATGTCATAGCTCGTTCCATCTATCTGTCACATGCTGTACACAAGCTTTTTTTAATTGTGGGCCCAAGATGTGTGATTTAGATATAAGCTGCTCAACTGGTGGGGCGGACTTATGTTCGGTGGTTTTCTGCTAATGGTCGCTTGTGGTCTGATCCTTGACAAAATGAGGGCAAGTGGCATAAAGGCTGAGAGAGAAAGAAGATTATGAGCCAAACAAAGCATATGCTAATGACAAGTTTTAATCTAATGTGCTGAAAAGAGTGGAGTCAAAATGTCTTGCTTTTGCTCTAAAAAAATCTAATGCTTGGGGTCAGCAGCATAATAAAAGCATGAGAGCTGCATCCTAGTGGGGAAGGGCTGCCCTGAAAAAGGCAGAGAGAGTGGAATAAAGGGAAGAGATGACTCTACATGAACTCCTGCACAAAACGAACAAAAGAACAGTACAAAGACATGCAACGTCAGAGGAAGAGAAATATGAAAGAAAGGTAGGACGGTTGGACTCTTGCATTGATAGAAATGGTAATGGAGAGTCAACAGAGAATTCTCAAGAGATGGACATAGATGGAGGAAAGTAGGTTGTAGGGAATCGATCGCCGTTCCCACTAATAATGTCAGCCTGGAGAGCAGGAATGGACGGAGGGGGAGACAGAGTAAATCAGATATAGATGGAATACGGCGGGAATGGTGGGTCTTGGACATGCAGAGCAAGACCAGGAGGAGGAAGTAGTGTAGGTGGATGAAGATGAGATGGAAGAGATAGATGGGTGTGGTGGGTGATGGATGAGGAGCCCTGAGTCAGCAGTGCTTGGAATTCGACCACTGAGCGTGCATGTGCTTGCATGTGCCTGTAAAAGGGAGATACAGACAAAACGGAAGAGGTGCATTGCCTCTCGAAGTGGCACAAATAACTATTTCCAGAGTAATCCATCACAGACTGAGGAGAATAGGTGTGAGTAGTTAACCCCGATGAGTGTGTTGGGAGAGATGGTAAAGAGCTGAAGCAACCACGCTGTCGGCCCCTCTCCTGTGGGTTTATCTGGCCTCATGAAGAGGAACGTGTTTACAGAACTAAATCCCTGTACAGATGCCTCCTCAGTCTCTGCTGAGTTCATTAAGCATGTGTTTACTTCAGGTATGCTAGAGCTGCAAAAAAAAAGTATTTTCTATTACACCAATCCTCCCCATCAAGATCTGTTAAATAATGAGCCAGAGCTAGTGACCCATCCCTCTGATCTACAAGTCTAATTGTGCTCCGGCATCTCATTAGGATCCACGTGCAGGTGTGTGAGGATCGGGGAAACTAACTGTGGCGTGCATGCTGAGGAAAGCATGTTTGGATGGTGGTCAAACTTCACTAAACACGTGAGTATGCATCCATCTTTGACAATTTTCAGAATAGTAATGGCAATTAAAGAAAAACTTTATTGAAAAGAACTATGTGTAATGTGAAAGACTTTAATTTGATGACTGAAATGTTAACCCTAAAATACCACAAACTTCAGTTTCACATACGGCATCTTTGCTTTGTAAACTGGAAAGAGGGGAGATGACTACATTAGCAATCTACTGTTCTTCCTCCTCGTCTCTGCTGGTTAACCTCCTCTTCCTCTTCCATGCTCGGTAATGTTTCCTTTTATCAGTGCATTAGGGGGAGTGCGCCATGCAGATGGCCTTTGATGAATTCCACATTTGCTTGTGCGTTTTAAGTAATGACACTAATGGTTTACAAGAAGAAAAAGCCGAGCTCTTCATATCTTCATAACTCTGTTCTCTATCAGAGATAAGCATTTTGTTTTAGGTATAATGGACAGAATGACTAATGGAGGGGATTCTCATGTAATTTTCCAGCAAAGACTTTCCCCCTCACAAACAGCACAGGGGGAGGTATTGGTAGAACAACTTCAAAGCCAAATTTAATATAAATAGCATGACATATATTTTTCAACACTTACACAGTTATTTGGAATGATCAACCATTTTTTATGATTCCCGTTAATTTTTTTGCGGGTGAATTTGTCTATTTTTATTTATGTGTCCCAGTAGTGTGAATTCTACCATCCCAATGCATCCCGTTGATGCAAACTTCACAATGTGCTTCTATATATAAAGAAGAAGTTGATGAATTTCCTTCTGTGGAATTTCCCTCTGACATCAACATCTCACTCACAGCCACACTCTGTCCTTGCCTGTCAGCATGTCTGTGAGAACATTAATGATGAATGGCTCATTGATGTAGCTAGAGAGGATGACAAATAGGACATTGATCATCTGCTCTAAAACAAGGCTCATCAGCGAGTGGCTGTGTGACATAATAGCCTCAAAGTTACTTTTATGAAAGCCATATGATCAATGGGACATTTAAAGCTGACAGACACTCATAAAAAACATAAGGATGAGAGGAAAGAGTGGCTGTTATAAGGTTGTCCGAGAAGAGATGGAAAAAGATCTGTTTTAGAGGGTTGATCCACACAATATCCTAATTAAAAAGTGACATATCCTTGTTTAAAGACTTACTTCAGATAAACACAAAGCTCATTTGGATGTTAAATGAAGTCCATGCATTGAGCCAAGAGTGAGGGATATATTCAATGCAAAACATTTATTATCATGTTTGTATGAAGCTCTGCTGAGTAGTTTGAAAAAAGTGAAATGGGGCAAAAATGGTTAGTAAACGCAAAATGAAATGAACTCCAAAGGCGCAGTGAGCTAAGCTAACACTAAATGATGGGGGACAGGAGGTGTTGTCATCCTCTGTCCATCTGTAGGGGAAAAGATGACGTCTACTGGGGATGGGAACGACCTAAATAAATGGTAATTGGGTCGTGACTCTGACATTAATGACTCCTGATGCAGCAGCCACAACTTAGAAGCCTGAATCTCCACACAACCTCTTTTTTAAGTGAGGAAAGCTTTTGGACAGGAAGTGAAACATCTTAAATAACCAAAAGCAAACTTTCTATTAAGATCACCACGAGAGCCTTGGGATACCTCAACAGATGCTGCTTAAGGATGTAAAAGACAAAATGAGATTGTTCTTTGCCTTCATTTTCTAATGTTTTCTTACTTAAACATCTAGTGTGGCCCTCTTCTCCTGAGAGTGCTCAAAGCAGAACAAGGATATGATTAACAGCTGTGAAACTCCCAAAGGAGTTGCTTTACTCTTATTTCTTCTTCCTCTTTGGCTAAACCCTTTACAAAGCATCTGTTGTTCTATGCAGCACACAAAGAAAAGATGAAACTGAAAAGTATTGTTTGGGCTGGACAAATATGTATCTGCAAACCACGACTGATGTGAAAAGCTCAGTCAGCACACCATTTGTTTGAAATCCTTTGTCTGCCCATTCTGTAGATCTATATTGGTTGAATTAAGGTCAAATTGAGCTTATTAGAAAAAAAAACTCCCTGTCATTTAACTGGAGAGGAACTGTAAAAAAGCTTAAGTGTTGTGGCAGCTTAGATAAAGAATTGTGTGCGTTTTGGTGTCTGTTTGATGCAAAGTAACAAAGCCACTTTCGCTGAGAGGCTGATATGCTCCAAATCCTGGTGTACACAGAGCTGCTGGTCTCCATCTGTGTGACCACAAGCTGTTCTGTTAATACAAACGTGTGAACAGCCTGACCTTGGCAATGAGTGCATGTGCCTGCAACACATAATTCAATTAATGTTACAGGAAAAAGCCCAGTTCCTCACTGGTTCTCCTCTGCTTTGATCCAGAATGATGGTTCTGTGCAGTAGTGGCGTTTTGTGTGCGTGCATACATCAGGAGGTCTGGGAGGGGTTTCCTCTCAGCACCTGGGTGCTGCCACACATTTAACCCGACAAGCTGACTGTGATGGAAAATGAGCCAAAAGGGGGGGAGGGAGGGAAATAGAGAAAGAGACGCAGCAGGATAAAATAAAGCTGTGCTGAAAGACTTCAAGTGCTTAGTTGTAACAGCAGCTGAGAATCAAACGCTTGAAGGAAAGTAGTTTTTTTTTAAAAGAAGGTGTGAGACAGCAATGTAAGAATGGTATATTTGAATGCCCAACAGGTGCAGAATTAACACACGACTGTGGAGCCTTTCACACTGAACTGTTATGATCCTTTGTAGGGTTTGGAGGAAGAATAGTTGCTGAC